TGCATATTGTACGTCAACCTAAATAAATTTATTGTTACGTTATAAAACAATTCAGTTGAATTTTGTATTTTATTTCTTGAGAGAATTGCATATGAGACTTGGTTCACAAATCCGAACCAGGATCTGACATTGGTGAAGATTTGGGGTGTTGGGAAGTTCAAGATTGCTTCTGTCATCCTCTTAATGAGTTTTATCCCCTCCTCTGCTACCCGGCGAACTTCTTTTTACGCAAAGTGAAACTTTTAAGGGCTGAAAAAAATACCGTCTTTGTCGCAGTGGGTAATATAATCCATCGTATGCCATAATAATGTTTTTATTGTGTCGTCACAGAAACTGCTGTCGGCGATGCATCTGGTTTTCCGGACCATATCGATGGTTATATCGTCAAATTTGCGCGTGTATGCATCTCAAGACGCGTGAAATCCCTGAGGGACCGAAGGTATCGATATCTGCCCCATTCGGTGATGAAAGTAGTCGCGTCCTGTGCAGCTGGGGTGAGGGGTAAGGCTATGGTACCCATTCCATGCGTCTAGGACGGTTTTTCTAGTATGCACTGATTGAACGGAGATGGTGTATGGTGGGTCTCCCTCATGGTAGCAGCGTTAAGCTTCTGCAAGTCTACTGTTCGCCTGGGTGAGCCATACTTTTTTTTTTTTTTTGATGAAACCACCATCACAGAACACCAAGTTGTAGGCATAACCACCGGCACTGGTTCGATGATGCCCAGTCCCACATCTTGGCCGATGTCCTGTTTGACCATCTTTTTTCAGTACTGTGGAACCTGGATTGGACTGTGAACCGCAGTTGGAACGAAGGTAATGTCCAGGGGTTTTCCCTTTATGGTCTGTAGCGGTTGGTGTGGACATACATTAAATGTGCTGGACCCAAAATGATCCAGCATCCATTATTCCAATCGGGGTTTATTATTCTCCGTATTGGTAAACGGGATATTGTCCGGTTTAGGTGGGGCGGTCATTCTTGGAAGGCATTGCTGTGTGGTTGGGGTTGGAAAGTCGGGTGGTAATAGGCTGAGATCATTTAGAGCTGATTCAGACAGGTAGAATCCAGATGTGTTCTCCGATACATATATGTTTGGCGCGTCTCCCGTGATCCATCTCTGATGTTAGCGAATATCACGACATTTATATGCAGCTGGTTCTCTGTGATGCTCCGGATTCGGTGATTAGTCGGTATTAAGGATTTGTCTGGGCATCTTAGAATTCCCTGTATTTCAGGTCCATTAGAACACGTCTGTGTTCCAGTGTCAGCTACAGCGTCAATTCGGTAGGTTAGGGTCAGGGTGAGGGTGCGGAGGCTAGTTGGTTCCATGGAAATGAGCCCGAATTCCGCATGGGCTTCGGGAATTAAGGTTATCTCTATTGTCAGAGATGGTGGTGAATTTGGAGGCCCCCTTTACTCGGAACATGATTCCATTCCAAATGAGGTGAAGCACGGCCTTTGGTTTTACCGGGTTGACTTTACCCCGCCATTCCCTTTGTCCGTATTGGGAGGCCATCCTGCTGGGACTCTCTGTGTGCCCTTTTGTGACGAGAATGCTGGATTCCTCTTTTACCATGCTCGTTGGCAGACCCCCTTTTTTCAGTTTCTGGTACACCCTCTCCATGTGCCCGATTATCCCACAATGGAAGCATACCATCTTGGCCGCTTTGCAGCCCTTACGATCCATCTATCCGTCGGGGTATGAATTCCTTCTACATCCTCTGCAAGGCTTGGCATATTGTGGAGTCAGGGAGGTCTTGGCTTTCTCGGATCGTTGCTCGCGGTCCGACCTCGGCACGTTGGATAATGTGACGGCGTGCATGGTGTTATAGATCTGTCGTTTCTAAACTGACTAGCCTGTCGAACTTCTGCTCTAGAGTTGTAAGGGTTGTAGCCTCTGCCAATATCTTGCTCTGGTGTTCGACATTAGCAAGTCCTACCACTATTTGTGCTGCCACCATGTCGTTGGAATAGTTTACTTGCCAACCGAAGAAAACTTGCAGGGATCGTAAACGAGGTAGAAGGTGCGCAACTGATTCACACTCTTTCTGCCTCATAGAGTGGAAGTTTTGCCTGTGTACCTCTTTATGCAGCCCTCTGACAGCGACGAGTCTTATTTGTAATAGCTGTCCTTCTGAGTCAGAGTTGAGCGTCTCGGCTCCCACCAGGTCAAATAGCAGTCTGTTCATCTCAGGGGTGCATGCCGTTCTCAGCTCGTTCCGTATAACTGCCGTCAGCTCGCACATTTCTTTGTAACAGTTCCATGTATTGATAAATATCGCAAAGTCGCTCTCAGTTGAGTCTGGTGCTGTCGTAGGTCGATTCGTTTTTTTGACGCAGGACTTGTTCGGCTGGCCACGAAATCCTTCCTTTCGTAGCCCGATATTTTTTTAACTCAACAAGTTGTTGCAGGAACTGCAAACACTGCTGGTCTACAGCTGGTCTCGTCTCCATGCTTCAAAGTTGCGAATTTGGAACGTTGGTAATTTTCCGTGGTCTTATACAAAAAAAAAAAAAGAAAAAAATCCTATCAGCGACGCCATGTATAATGCCAGAGTGATGCATGTAAAGTGTTTGCCAGTCAAGAGCTGCCGGTATTTACCCGACCTCTCCACGAGACATGATGCGGCACAAGGCCGGATTTTATGTGGGTCAATCCCGAACCCGTAGGCTCAGGCAAAAATTCCTGTAGATCCCGCAGCTGTGGGGTTTGTCTACCTCGCCAGACGAGACTCCGCCCGTCGGCATAACCTCGTCTAGGTTCCTCTCTGCCTGAAAGCAGAGATTTCGACCAGTCAGTCGCGATCCTAGTAGCGAACTGCCTCAGTCGTGTGCTGTCTGAGATTTACCTTACCCCCACCGCCCACTCAGTCAGGTTGTGACACAAGGTCGGTTTTTAACGTGGGGACTTGAGTGTTTTCACTCGGGCCGCTGATCTAAGCTGGTCAGAGGTTGTCTTAGTCATAGCCGGTCATACCACCGCTACGCAACAGATGCTACACAACGAGGTGTGGGGCGCGCAAGAGGGGAGAGAAGGCCACCGAAACGGAATAGATGTTACCACTTAAAATCTTCTTCTTCTTCTTCTTCTTCTTCTCATTTTTACGAGTATTTTTGTATGTATAATTAGGGGGTTTATAATTATTTGCTCAGAGTTATAACACTGCCGTATAAAAATAAAATTATTCATTCTACTAAGTTTCATAAAAGCCTATAGAAAAAAATTCTTAAGCTGTTGCTTAAGGTTAAAAAAGATGATTAATTTTTATATATAATCAGTGAATTTTGGTTCTCCATACTTATTTAAATTTTACACGCGCTTTTTATATTTGTGTTACCGTAGAAGATTACTTTGATGCCAGCTCGCAGTCTGCCGTGCGTAAGTAAACGTTTAGTCTTCTCAAGCGAAAAATAAGCATAGATTTTTTTCTACTAGATAAATTCTTCAATTTACGAATTTATTTTGAAACAAATCTCTTGGATTGGATTTTTAAATTTATTATTTACATTTTTCGTCTATAATGGAGGTATGCTGAGTGAGTGATCGTGCCAATTTTTTTAAAATTATTTAAAAGTGTAAAAAAATTATTTATCTTTTTTCAACAGATTACCTTTTTGTTATCTTCAAAGACATTTAAAAAAAATTAAATTATTTAAAATGTGTTTTTAAGTTTAATTAGTTCCACCACCGATTTATTAAAAAGAATTAATTATTCTGATTTTAAAATTTGTTAAAGTATAAGTGTGTGGATGGTGGAGAATAACGGGAAAATTGACAAAGACATTGAAATTTGAATTGATTGATTGCAATCACAGAATTACTGATTTATTTCTTTTTTGAGCTTTCATAGAAAAAATAATCTCAGCTACTCGAAAATAGCATTAAACTTCACATTTTTCAAACATGTCTTCATTTAATAAAAGTAAAACTATTTTGTTACGAACAACAACTAAAAATGGATTTCAAAATCGCACTGAAGAATTACAAGCAATTTTTATAAATATTCAGTTTTGTTTTAGTTTTCCTGAATCTGAAAGGAAATACAGTGTAACCCGGATATAAGAGAGATTTTCTCTGGTCCCGAAGTGTTCCCATACTTACCTAAACAAAATAGACCAAACCCGGATATAAGAGAAACCCGGATATAAGAGACTTCTTCTCCGGTCCCGACAACTCTCTTATATCCGGGTTACACTGTAATTGATTTTTTTAATTAAGTCATCCACTAAAATCCTCAACGAGAATTATTTCTTGATTTTTCTTGAATTATTTTTAATGTTCAGGACGAATATTTTCACTATATTCCCGGTTGATATTTCATTTTTAAATTTTTTTTTAATCTTCATTCAGAGATTTTTTTATAAGTCAACCGTAATTTGAACAAACTAAAAATTAAACACTAACAACACACCTCGAAAATAATTTTCCCAAAGAGGTTTCTAAAATTAGTATTATTCAGCATAAAAGTATAAGTACTGAAAATTTCATTTAAAACCTGATAATTACCTTTTTTTTTGGTACATTTTTAAAAAACTGGGGTAGCATCTTTTTTTTTTATAGATACCGCCAAAAATGGATGCATTTATTTATTTTTTTTCGAAATGAAAGTGTGTAAAAAAAAAAAAAATAATAAAAAATAAAAGGCTACCTACTACGCAATAAAACAAAACAAAACAAAAAATCAGGGAATTATCCGATTTTTAAATAAGATGTTCAGTTACTTATTCAATAATGACTGAATTGTACAACGTTATGTTATTTTACCACCATTCCATTAAGATTCGGAACTAGAGTTATATATTCCGTGCCAATAACCGTCACGGTTGTTTAAATTAAATTATATTTTCTCTGATTTTTGGTAAAAAGTTTAATTGATAGAAGCGGTAGATATCAAAACCAAATTTATCTTGTGCTTTAGGTGACAGTTGACTATTATTCTTTATTTTGTTTTCAAAAGCCGGGAACATGTTTTGGGTTTAGACCGGCTATATCCGCTTTCATGATCTTCTTCACTTATTTGTTTGAAGGCCTGTTGTGCCTCTTTCTCCCATTTCTTCTTTCATATTCAGAATCTGAATGGGGGTTTCTGTGGACAAAGACATGTTCACACTGCCTAGATTAAAGTGGCGGCAAAATACCGATAATGCAGACAAGAAAAAATTGCTTCCAACTTCATGCGACAACGAAAAGAACAACACAAATATGATTTTTAAACCAAACCGAACCCGTCTTTTAAAAATCTTGCTTTTTCTAGTTCTCTTTCTCGTTATTCTGGTCAATTTAGCCGAATTTTTGAAGCAATATGTAATGCCGAGTCCTAATGGAACGAGTGGTCATGGCGGTAGTGGGAAAGGCACTCTACTGACTCTGCCAGCTCTCCTCCTTGGTAGTGATTTGGGTTTTATTCGGGTAGGTCATATGAGTGTGGACTTGGTTACTTCAACCATGACATTCACGGACCCTTTATGGGTACCAAATCCTGCAGCTGCGGCCGCTGCGGCTGCTGAAGCCGCTGCCCAGGGGGAAGAAGATGAGGCTGGAGATGGCAGCTACTTGAGAGCTACGTTCCCTTCTTCGATTAAAGATTTTAGCAAAGAGACCAAAGATTGTGGGCCTTCGGACAATTTTGAAACAACTGCTTCCTTATGTCGGCTGTTTGGAACACATGTGCAACTTAAGGTTGGTGTCTGTTATTTTGATCGTTTTTGACTTTGTCTTTTCACTTAAATTCAAAATTCAACTATTTTAAATAGGTTTTACTTTTCTTTGAGTAATAATAATTTTGAAAAAGTTACAAGTGCAAAACATGGCCATTATTATCATTATTAGTTTAAAAATGCATTGTATTCTAAACAAGCGAAAAAAATTAATACATTGACGTTAACACTATTTTTTGATCTAGCGACTAAGCTAGATCAAACCAAACGTGATCGACAACATCAAAAAGGGAAACCTGTTAAACAGTAAACTGCATTCTCTATCTCTTGTGATACTATCTAGAAACTAAATTGGAGTAATTTTCGTCTAACAGCTAAGTTTACTTCCATATAACCCGAAATCTTTGTTATTTATGGCAATTAAATTCCTTGGATCCCTACATGTTTGTACGGTTAAGAAGAAAGTTTCAGTAGCAGACGAAGGTTTGCTCTGACGATGTTTTAGTCTTCTTACTCTTCTTGGGTTTGTTTTTTTCTACTGACTTTGTTTAGAGAAGGGAATTTCTCCACTAAAGAATGGGAACACGATTTCATGGCATTCCACATGCATTTTTAGTCGAATGATGGTGTAGCATTTGACCTAAGCTTCAATTTATTTAATGTATTTTTTCTTCTTTGTACAGGTAAAAATGAAACATTACACCTGGAAAAAACTTACCAAGAGTTTAAGAGACGTCAGTGTGTACCAAAAATTATTTTCTAAATCACTAGGGGTGGGGGAATTGAAAGTTTTCCATTGCAATTCGACCAAGCTTAGCAAGTTAATTCTGAATTTTTATCTCATATGCGTCAATTAAATAATAAAAATGCTAAACCATGGAACCATGGCATAACCCTAACTAAATTTACTTTGTCGCAAAGCAGAGGTAAGTTTTTGAATATTATTTTTGCTTTTCTGTTTTAAAGTAATACAACTTTTATTTTTACTTAATTTGTTGATCTGCTTCTCAAATGCCGGGCCATTTCGGTGACTGACTTTTATTTTATTTATATATATATTTTTTGCCATTCATTAGTTATTTCACATTAGTCAGTGTCCGAAATTATTTTCACACTTATGCTTTTTTACGTAGTCTCATATTTCAAGTACACATTTTGTAACAGATTCAATTCAAATGTACATTTTTTTCCATGGGAATTATCTTTTTTGTTTGTACACGTACACATTAGTTTACTTTTTATTGTTAACAAAAAGAAGTACCTTTATTATCGACTAAAAAAACATTACACTTTTTATGGGCGTTATTTATTAATTACATGTTAATAATCAGTGTTTTGTAATTAATTAGAAGGAAGTATTTATTTACCATTAGTTATAATTTCGATTGGCGCTGAGAAGAAAATCTCTGAACGCGAATAAAAATAACCAAGAAAAAAATATTGGATTTTAATTTAATTTGAACAAAAAGTATATATTTGGGATCCCAAACCAAATAAAGTTTTAGTCTAAAACTTTTATACTTTTAAATTCAATCTTCAATTGGCGGAACATTTGAGACTTAAAAGAAAAAAGAAAAAAAAAACAATGAAATTGAAATACATTGTTAAAAAAAATTGTTGGTCGTTTTTTCTATACTAATCGAAAGTTGAAAGAAAAAAAAAAATTAAGTAGATAGGAAATTTTAGCCCAGTCTGTCCTACCCATAGCTGGAGTGAGAAGAGGATTCATACCCTTTCCCTAAGTGAATGTAATGGATTCAACTGGAATTCGAACAACGGCTCCCTGATTCCTCAATCTCAGCTGCTATCCATTAGTCCACTGTTTATATATAGCTATATATATAATTTTTTTTCACGTGTTACTCACACTTACTTAATTTTGTAAAATTAAATTTTAACTCCCTTAAATATTTTTAGCTAAAAAATAAAAACAGAACTCCATGTAGAATTCATTTTTTGTAAAAGTCAAACGAACACCATTTACCGAAAATTTGCTTTGAAATGCAATAAAACGAAGTCATTATTTCATTAGAAAAGTTTCAGAAAAACATTTTTTGATGAATAAAAAGAATTGTCATTTTTTTTTAATTAGATTAAATTAAATTTTTTAAATCTTAAAATTTTGGATTAATTTCACCTTCAGATGATATTTAAGTAAATACTTATTATAAATTGAAAAACTTAGTACGTCTCTAAAGTAAATAATATTTGTTTCAAATCAGATTAATTAAACTTTAAATCAGCTGATATTCCTTAAATTTTGAAAGACAATGGTTAATGGTGCTAAAATCGGCTATTTTAGCAATTTCAAAATGGAAACTCCTTTCAGTCAAATTAATTTTGAAATACAAAAAAATGATTTCACTTATTGGAAATATGAAATTTAATCTATTAGCGTGAAAATAAAATATTTTAGTTTTATTTTCAGTTTTTATTTTCACACTTCAAGAAAGATTTTTCATTTCTAAAAAAATCATTTTAAACCTTAGCTATCACATTTCTGTGGAGGTACCTACACAAAACTTTTTAAAAAAATCAGCAAGTTAATGTCCCTGCAATAAGAAGACTGAGTCAAAAGGATGGTTTTTACTGACACCACTTTTTTGTGATGCTAGTTTCTAGTATTTATAAAATTACAGTGACAATATTGATGGTTACTGTACAAGTAGTGACTTGATTGATAATAAAACTATTGTTATAATAGCTGCACTTTTGATTTCTACTTAAAAGTGTGAAAAATAACCCTCTAATAAATAGGAATTGGGTAGGGTATCTTTTTATTTAATTCTCAAGATTTTAAGTGGATATTTCTTATGATTCTCAGTTACTGAGTATGGATATTGGAGGAGGAGGATGAAGTTGGTTATCCCTTCTATCCCCCTCCCCCTGCATAGAAAGGACAGTCTGTTTTTGATGTAAACTCCACAGAATTTTGTTTATTAAAAGGATTAGTCAAAATTGTGGCAGCCATAAATAATGGGAGTGGTTTGATACTGTCAAAAATGAATGGAAGAAACCTGTCATGGTGATAGCAGTAATGTAAGCTGATGACAATGTTGTTTAATATAATGGGTAAGTTGTTTGTTACATTGGTGATACCTGACAAAAAATATTGGAAATAGAATTGATAGCTTCTTGGCAACCTACAGAAAAAAAACAATATTCTGTTTGTTACATTTATTGAGGTGAAAAAATTATGCAAAAATGCAACCTTTTTAAAATAAGTTTGGCAATATTTCTTCACACTATCACCTGATGATGTAAATAAATATTGAAATATTAAAAAAATTAAACACATTATATTTGTTAATCAAGAAATGATAATCTTCAAAAAAAGTAGTAATTATCAGTTATTTGTAAAGTTAAATAAATTTGTTTGAAATCATTTTGTATACTCACACATAATTGTAATAAAAAACACTATTTGTAGGAAAAGTTCATAGCTTTTTTAAGTGGATTTCAAAGACATTTTAATATTTGTATATAGGTTTTTTTCAGTTACATATGTGCCATTTTGTTCCATTACCTTTTGCCATCTTTGAAGCAGCTTCATAATTCCATCCTCCTCAAAATTGGCATCTTTCTGCATTATGAAGTGGTCTATGTGGTTTTTACAGGTTTCCAGAGAATCGAAGTTCTTCTCATTAAGAGACTTTAATTGGGAACACTTGTCTGAATTCAAAGTTTGATTTTTGTGGAAGGAGTCTCTAATACACAATGCTCTTCCAAGTCCACCAGATACACAGCAAAGAAAAGTGATTCTTTAGATTTAGACCAGCTTTTTTTTTTTTTTTTTTTTTTTTTTTTTTTGAGTGATGAATATTGGCTCATCTTTCCCCCAGAGCATTTTCAATCCACATTGCTGTAAACCATCAATTTTTTATTGCACATGATCATTCTTTTCACAAATGGGTTGCTTTTGTTGCATTTGAGCAGAGAATTGCAAATCCATTAAATTGCACCTATGCCTGTATCCAAATGTTTTCAAATGCCTTACAATGCTCATATGAAGTATAATGGAGTACCTCTCTGATGACGTGTGTCATTTCATCTTTATAGTTTTTAATTAGTTTTGATTTGGTTATCATCAATAACAGCAGGCTTGTTAGAACATTCATGTTCTTATAGATGAAACTTTCCACTTTTAAACTTAGCAAACCATTTTAAGAACAATACTCCCAGTTATGACATCATCTATATAAATGATATACATGTTTTTTTCTGTTTGTACAGTGTTTTTCCTTTCCAGAAATAAGAGCATCACATGAAGAAAATGCTTCTCATTTTTCTCTTTCTGGTATTGGATTAAAAAAAAATAATTTAAAATTCATAATTCATATATGAATCATATAGAAAGTTGCAATGAAATGTGACCTTTCAGAATATATAATAAATTTCAATCATGTGTGACATGAAATCTCATGTTCAAATGCCACCTATTGATTTTTATTCCAACCCATGATTTTCCTTTGAGCTTTAACTGTTCTATGTTTAATTATTCCTAATATATTTAAAAATCTTCATTTGCATATATCTATTTCAGATCTTTCTCTATATTTTTCTTTTTAGGTGACAGAATCTAAAAAAGAGAATCACATCACATGTTATCATATTGTGTGGGCAGCTTTATCAAAAGATTTCATTCCACAAAACTGCTTTGAGCTAGATGAAGCTTACTGGTATGGTGGCCCTGAAGTATCTCGACAGATGTACCCAATTGAGAAAAGTAGCATACCAATGGTTCCTTTTGTACCTGGATTTGACCCATCTCTCATTCACAGTAATCTATCCCTAGGTCCTATTTTAGAGAGGTATTGGATTAATTCTCAAGGCACTGGAATTGTTGTGGATAATTTGATCCCCTTGCATGTGAGCATGAACCATAATTACAATTATAAACTTTGTTTTAAAGCAGAGTATGATAACTCTCCTTATGCTAATCCCAAGAACAGCCTGCCATCACTCAGTTACTCTGTTTGCAAAGCAAGCAATGTGAAAAATCTTCATGAATACTTACGAAAGAGATGGTTTGAAAATCCAGTTGGGGCACCAACTGAAATGCTTGGTCAACCACTGTGGACTACAGGCGAGTTTTTTGGGGATTCAATTGATCAGGCCAAATTCTTAGCATACACAGATAAGATTGTCAGATATGGCTTTGTTAATTCCCAAGTGCAGCTTGATACATACTCTTCACTTATAGGGAACACAATGATTTCTCATACCAAATTCCCTAATTCAAACCAGATGATTGGTGAAATCAAAGCTACTAAACTGAGTGTTCGGATAAAAATGTGTGTGTGTTCAAATCTGCATGTGCATCACTTTAATGAAGGAAAACAACAAGGCTATTGGTTGATGAACACCACTTCCCAAGAAGTTGCCATTGCTTCTTCAAGGTTTGGTCCTATTGCCATGCTTGATTTCACTAACCCAGAAGCTACAAAATGGTTTGCAGAGAAAGTTCTCTTCATGGAGAACTCTTATGGTGTTCAGTCATTTACATTTGATCTTGCTAATATCTATGCCTTACCATTTAATTTCTCTTCGAGTATACCCATGAAGAATCCTTCTGAATATTTAACCAAACTAGCAGAATTTGCTTATGTAGCTGATCATAAAGCAGTTGTCCCAGGAGCCTTTCAATCCCAGAAGGTTCCGCTGTTTGTTGAGACAGTAGCAAAGAATGCAACATGGGATTACAATAGTGGATTGAAGAATGTTATTCCAAATATACTGACTCTTGGCATTCTTGGTTATCCATTTATTCTTCCTAGTGCCATTGGAGGATCCAATGGCACAGATAGCCCACCTGCAAGCAAGGATCTGTTTATTAGGTGGGCACAAATGGCCACTTATTTTCCAATCATGCACTTCTCTATTCCTCCGTGGTATTTTGATGAGGAAACAGTGAAAATCACTCAGAGTTTAGTGAAGATACATCAAAGAAATGTTGTCCCTTTATTGAAACACTTGATGAAGGAAGCTGAAGTGACAGGTAAGGAACTATTTTCAGCTGGCTTAATTGATTTTATTTAATTTAAACATGATTATCACTTCCCTAGGAAAATGTTTTCAAGCTTGCCTTGAATCTAACCAAACCTAGTGAATTTTTCAAATGTTATTTGAAGTGAAGATTGGATTAATATTAAAGAGCATTTCAATTTATGCTGCCTAGAAGAAATTAAAGTTCAATTTTAATTTTCAGTATTTATGATTAAAACATTGCTGGTATATTTTTTTTTCCTTGAATTTTTAAAACCAATCTTAGAATATTTTTAGACAATTTTTAAATTTCATTTTTGAAAAAAATGGTGTGTCAAAAGAATGTTATTTTTTTTTTTTTTAATACTTGACACTGGTATTATTTTAACTATCTTCACTTGGCAATGTTTGTTTTAAAAAGTGATTAGAAGTTTAATAAAACCTAAACATATATGAAAGTGAATTCATACATTTTTTGGTTCTTGAAAATTCACAACAAAAATATTAAACAATATTAGATTGTTTATTTACAAGAATAATTTTATATTTACAACATTCTGAAATACAATTAAAACTAATGCAATATTTATCATTTACCAATTTATAAAGAAATAAGTGTGAAAACTATTTTTTATTAATAAATTTCTAAACATTAAATTATTAAAATATATGAACCAAGGAAATCCTTATCATTTTAGAAAGTTTTTTTTTTTTTTTTTTTTTTTTTTCATAAGATTTGACAATGTGCTAAATTTGCATTATAGATTCTTAAGCCCTTCAAATTGATAGCTGGTCTATGTATGATAAAATAATAGAAACTTTGATCTTTCGTTTAAGAATGTGGTTGCATGTAAAATTTTACTTTATAACATTTTGACAAATCATTGTATTGAAATTTAATTTCTGCATTTGAATGTTGCTTGTTTCTGTGTTGTGCATTTTAGGCCTAACATTAGTTGTTTGTTTTTTTTTTTTTTGTTTTTTTACTTCAAAATGTATTTTGAACAGTTGAATTTTGTTTGTAACAAAAACAATTCTGTTGTTGCTGATATTCAAAATTAAAGTTGGTATCTCAAACTGCCCTAGTGAAAATGTGTCATAATAGTGAAATTTCCTTCCATTTCAACTGCTAATATCTCATTCATTTTCCAGGTTATATTAAGTTTGTACGTAAATAAAATTTAATCTTTTCACTTTATAAAAAATACAATGGTTAATCATATGTAATGATTATCATGTTTTCATTCCATGTCCTTTTAAATTATATCTTGCTTATTTGTCTGCATTTTCAAAGCTAACAAGTTCATCATGGTGTTTCTCAAATTTGTTGCACTTCAAGTTGTATCTCTGAATACATATCAAAATAGTCCCATCTTAAAAAGGGTTTGACAAACAATTTGAAAGTTAACGTCTTTAGTGGATAAAATACCATAGAAATTCAACACTTAAATAAAAATGTAAAATTGCACATTATTGTAGAGCAACATCTCATTTTTAATAATCAGTTGATTTTATATCTCTGCAACTACACAACTCTAGGTGCAGTGAATCAAATAGATGGTATACTGTTTTGTGCAAAACCACTGGGTCCGAAACATCGAAATTTGTATTGCTGCCTGAGGGAATTAACATCAGTTGAACATCATTTTAAATCAAACTTACATAGTTTATGTCCTTATATTTTCTTTAATGATACATTTAAAAACTGTAAATAGTAGTTGTCATATTTTGTCAAAACTGTCATGCTCCAATAACTTTTGCAGCGATTGTTGTTTTTATGCATTTTCTTAAATCATTAAACAGAATTCATATTATAAAATAGAAAATAAATATATTAATTGGATATATTCTTAGTTCTTTGAATTTTGCACTCATGTTTGTACATAAAAAATCTTCTTTTTTTTTTTAAGTGTCCATTTTTTTCCTTTTGTTATTCATTTCATTTATATCTGTGATTGATAATATTTTGCTAATTCTAGGGATTAGGTCCTACTTAGCAGGTTAAAATGAAATTACATTTTATAGTTCAACTTTTGAAAACGTGTTATTTAAAAAATTTTTTTTTTTTACTTAAGCTGTTATCATAACTTGGAGTTACGAGAAGAAATGCAGGAGGGCCATTCCAGTTGTTCAGAAATTCTTTTTCATCAGTTTCAATAAATGTATTGTTTTATTCATTTCAGTGTTTTTAGTTTGAAATGATTTTAAAGTTTTACAATAATTGTAAAATTGAAGGATTCACCAAAGATTCATTTCATGAAACAAATTTCTAAATTTTAGTCATTACTGTCTCTTTTAGAAAAGTTAAATATTGTATAATTTCACAAAGTTCTCCAAAATTAGATACATGTCTGAGAAAAGGTATTCGTATTACAGAGAAATGGACTGTTCTATTGAATTCTTCATTCCAAAATTAACAAAGTTTGAAAGTTTCAGGCATGTGCCTCCAATGGAAACTTTCTTATAGCAACTTCAGGATGATATACTTTTGTTTTTGCCTTACTGTCAAATTGTGCTTTTTTTTTACAAGGTGTAAAAATGAGGGTTTTTTTGTTTGTTTTTTTTTTTTTTTTATTAATGAACTACTGGATAAAAAAAATTAGCTTTATCTTTGTTGTGCTAAATGAATTATAGTAAAAAGTTGCGAGATATTAACAGTTGAAATGAAACTTATATGATCAGTCAAAATTGCCCTTCAGTGTTATGTTTTAACTATTTCATTTTTAAGAATGCTAAGGTATGATCTAAAACTAATTGATTCCATTAGTATTATATTTCTTTTACTCTCATTCAAAACTATCTACATGAGGTTACATTTCTTCAGTTATTCCCTAGTGAAATTGTCTCCTTGGTCCAGTAGCACAGGAGATAGAAAACTTTGAATGGTCATAATTTAGTTGTTAATTGAGCTATTAAGATGAATTTGTTAGAGTTTTTTATGTTTTGTTAATATCTCTATACCTGTATTAAAAGTTCTTAGATATATAATGAAAATAAAATTTTACTTTTTGATACCTAGTATTATAATAAATGTATGCCATAAGTTACAGCTCTTGCTTGCCTTTGGTATTTATGGAGGGAATGTTGAAGAATGCCAAACAACATCTGAAATATTGTTTAATTTGCTTTGTAGCCATTTCTGCAACAGAAAAGTGATATACTATTCCAGCACATGATGCCCATTTCTCAACTTTCCTGACTGGCGTAGTTGTCAAAGATGGCTCACATTGTGCTATCATATCTCAGACTTTTTCAGTGTCAGTTATAACTCTTGTTGTATTGCATCAATACATGAAAGAGATCTGCAATAATATATTGCAGGATGGTATTTAATATCTGTGCAATTGTATGCATATAAGAGTACAGACCTGTGTTAATATCCATGGTTGATATAGTGTATTAATAAGTGGTTCTGTAATGTTCATACACTTCTTATTTTGAATCTGTGCATGCCATTTATGGTATATTATCCACTAATTTTGTTGTGAGTAAATTGAAACCAATTTTCCATCAGTGTATTTTAAATAAAGAGCAACCTTTTAGAAGAATTAGACCCTAAAGTTTCATATTAATGCTTTGCAAAGTTGATATTTTTCATGTTTTTAGTACATATAAATTGGTCTTCGTGTCTTAAAAAGGTTGATTATCTCTAAAGCTAGTTTGAAAAAATAGGTATGAAATGCCTTGTGATTATTCTTTCTAAAAGAAATGAATTTTATTTTTACTTCTTACCAATATTTTGTGAAAGAAAATGGCAGTGCAAACAGTATAACACGCATGACCTGGCCAATCATGGGTTAAACCTGGTCAGCAGTGACCAGATATGACCCTTGCCACATACCTGCCTATATCAGAAGATGGCTTGTTCCCCAGGGTCATAGAACTAGTTGATTTTAGGGTCATACTGGTTGATACTGTTACTGGTCAATGGTTTGCCCATTGCTGCCCTGATCCACACTTTGCTCTGCCCACATTGTATTTCTTGATCACAGATCATTGGAGATATGACTATTGTCAGTAACCATAGCACTGGTTTGAATCATGGTGAAGCTGTGTTTTTGAAAAAAAAAAAAAGATATGTTTTTGCAAACGAAATAAGAATGATAGATTTTTGGGGTCAATTTTCAATTTGGTTTATGTAGTTCTTTGTATAAGAATATTAACCCTTTCCGCTAAAATTTCTATAGTGACACGGTACCTATTGTAGTAATTCTTGGGCTCAAAGTCGGAAGTTCTCTTGGTAGCAAGTGTGACATGTGCCTATAAAAACATTGCCTTCATGTCATCACACTCTTTCTTTCTACTCATAGCAGCAATAGACAAACACAGTAATTATAGTCTGTAACTACCAAAATCAGCAGCAGCTGGGGAAAAACTGATGGATCACAAAAGGAACATTCAAAAATTTTGAGTAGCGCCAATTGAATGATCACAGCCAATAAAGAAAAGTGGAATAATGATGGCAAAGGAGAACAATCACGAGGAAAAACTTAATAGTTGTAGAGATGGATTGAATCTGTGTAGACATCATCATGATCTACACAAGAAAATATCTGGCAGAATGAGAAGTCAGGAATATAGAGTAAGGCCTGCTCATAAAATGTATTAATGAGTTACTAAACAGATTATGTGTATTCTGGCTGAGGCATGGTATATCCTCTGCCCATAACTGAAAAAGTGTATCTCTGTTATCTCTTCTGCTGACACAATTTAATACTACTTTGGAGATGACAGATCTGAAAAGAAAAAATCTTCCATACAAAAGAATAACGGATAAATTCCTGAATTGAACCAAGTTGAAAAGAATGGGAGCTCTCAAATTAAGAACAAAAGAGAGGAATTTAAAAAGGAAGGAACTATATCAAAAGAGAAAGAAAATATAGTTTTGAAAGAACTAGAGAAAAGAAAGGTAAAAGAACACATCCAAATATTAATAAAGTATTCTATGCATCTATCATTACATGAAAATATTAAGGCTCTTCAAAACTGCTTCATCATATTTGTTTATTCAGTTAAATTTCACTTTCTCTCCATGTGTTTGAAGAGTAACCCAGGAATAGAGCATTTCTACTATATTTATTTACACATATATATATATATATATATATATATATATAATATATATATATTTTTTTTTTTTTTTCTTTGTGTTGTAATGCTGAAGAAATTTAAATACTATGAATATTTACAGTCAAAGGGAGGTAACCCTGACTTATCTTCATCTAAATATCCATAACGCAAGTCACGGGTTCTTTTTGGTAGTCAAATGGATTTCAGTAGCTCTTTTGTCTGCTCTTCGCTGCTTGTTTCTTGTCTCTCTCTGGGTCATCTAAGTGCTCTGCTTTTATTGACTTTAACCCGAGACTGGAGTGGAGCTGACAGTACTTGGGGATCTGGTGATTCCTCAGGTTTCTTTATTGATTTGATCAAGTGTTTTCTGGTTTGCAATATTAATTACCTTTCCAAATTTGGAAGAAATATTCAACCTACTGGTTGTGGTAGCAAGTATTGCTCTGCCTTTATAACTCATCTCTTATTTATGCTGTGCACCATTAATTCCAAGTGGGCAATGGTAATTTCTCCTTCCTCCTATCTTAGTATTTCATCTAAGACCACCACTTTGACTGTCTCTTTGACAAATCTAATTTTTAAACCAAGTGGGCAAAAGGGAGGTTCTTACTTCTTTATCTTAATTTTCAACAACAAATTTTCTCAATCTCCAGTCCTGTTTATTTAAGCAGGCATTTACCGACCTGATATTAGCAAAACTTGTTTTCATATGTTTTCACTTAATTGTACTCATGAACCTTATAGGACTGTTTCATATTTCAATTTCTTCAAGCAAAGGATAAAATTCTAATTCTCGATTTGTTTGCATTTCCAACATTGGTGAAGCTATTTCTGCTCTTTGACAGGTAGGCTTAGATCAGTTTCTCGATTCTGCCTTTGTCTTCAAAATTACCAAATATTATAACTCTGTTGACCCCTTCTTCTGTATGGTAATCATGAAAAATGTTTTCGTAACTTCCACTTTAATTAAGTGGATATAAATCAATTTCTCAATTTCTACTTCCATTTCCAAAATTCTCAACTAACCTCAAATGTACTTTCAATATTCCTTCTTGGACCTTGTGGTTGAAGCCTTCCACATGGCTTCTGATAATATCTTTCCAAAAACCAATAAAGTAATTTTCTTCAAGCTAGATTTTCTATAGGGAAACAACATAAACTGAAAGAAGGAATGAAATACATTCCTTCTTTCAGTTTATGTTGTTCCTTACTTTTAATTCTCTCTGTCTATTCCAGTTCATATTTTAAATTAAACCTTTTCCTTTACCAGTGTCACAACAGTGCATTTTGCATTTGTTTCAAGCAGTTGTATCCATAATTCTATTTGTTCTTTTCATATCCAGTAGAAATAAACTTGTAATGAAACCTAATAACAAGTCAAGGATAAGGAAATGATATACTTTGAAAAAATAATTGAAACATAAAGGAACTTAAATGAAACAAAATGCTCTTAAAATACTGTATATAGTTCATTTCAATTCCTTTTTTTCTTTTTTTTTTTTTTTTTTTTAAACCATCATATATTTGTGTTAACAAAAGTAAAATGCCTAGGATAATGCCTAAAAGGAAATTAATAAATTTCATGTGAGAAAATCAAATTTTTAAAATTTTTCTTTATACAGGTGCTCCAATCATCCGGCCAGTCTGGTGGATTGCTCCTGAAGATCCAATTGCTCTTCGAATTGATTGTGAGTTTTTGCTTGGCGATAGGCTCCTTGTGGCACCAATTCTGGACCCTGGTAATACATCCCGGAATGTTTACCTTCCACATGGACAATGGACTGATGTTTTAAGTGGTAAAAGAATTGAAGGTGGACGATGGTACAAAGATTACAAAGTACAGCTTCATCAAATTGCTACTTTCCAGAAACTTAAATCAGTTGTTTGAATAAATACTACTGATTTATTATTTATCATTCTTCTACAGATTTACTTTTGGACAGACTGAATTACAAATTGTACACTGAAAAAGATGATTTCTTATTTATTTAGTTTTTCACGCATAAATACAGTGGGGGAATAACACTAACAGCAATATTTAAAAAGAAAAAGCATTAAAACACATTCTTTTTAGACACCAGCTTTCTGGGTGAATTTAACCTTTTTTCCTACAAATTATATTAAATTATATCAAGCTTGTCTCATTATTTTATTTATAATGGTTATTTAAGAATTAAACTAGTTTACTCCTATTCAACTAATCCATTGCATTCAAATATTAAATTTATTAGGCTGCTATTCTTAATTGAAATTTTATATATATAATATTAAATAATTAAGTTGGTTAATTTGACTTTTTAATTTGTCAATAATTTTTACTAGGACTTTTGTATACTACCATTTTCAACCAGCATCTAACTTTATGGTATATTGGTAAATTTTAGCTATTAACTTTGTGGTTCTTGATTATGTTTCTGTCTATAAAAATGAATATTCCTTTTGAAAAGTTGATGGCTTAAATTTTAATTTGTTATTCAATTTAAAGTTTCTCTATTTCAAGTTAGCTTTCATTGATTGACTCCAAATTTTGATGTGATTTAAAATGTTTTGTATTTCGTTAAAAGCTCAGTTTATGTTTGGGTTAATTTTCCGATTCCATCACCTCCTTTTGGAGCTTACTGTCCAACATTTATTTTAGTTTGTCCTGTCCATACAAATTGCCATAAAATGAAGTGTCTATATTTTTAGGAATGATTGATGAAGAGATGAATGGAGTAAAGAATTTTTAACTTGCTTTAAGAAGTAATTTTTTTTTTTAATATTTGATTTTGGGACATACTCCTGTTTTGGTAAACAATTTGATTTAATAATAAAATTTAAGGGACCAATTATAAATGATACTCTTGATTGAGATTGTTGTGAGATTTTTTGTGATTTTTTTTTTTTTTTTTAATTTCAGTTTTTAATATGTGGGTGAAGAGCATATTTGATTTTGCTCTTCAAGTATCATTAAATTGCATTTTTTTATTGATTTCAACTGATTTGAAATGACCTGCTTTTTTTATGTGGCTATTTTTCTGTATTGCCATATAAAGTTGTCTCTTGATTGTGGGCTTTCTAAAATATTTTCAGTATTGATAATTATAGATAATAGGGTTGTGTTGGGGAGCAGATACACAGTAAATCTTGAGACAGCTAATATTAAGTCAATGTAGTGATTGCAATTTTCTTATTTTCAGATTTTTTAATTTTAATTTAAAATCATTGAGAGCATTAAAAATATATTGTTAATCAAATAGACTGATTAATCAGAAGCTTTTATAATAATAAGGGTGAAAAAAAAACAAAAAAAACTGTTTTTTAAAGTTTCTCACTTTTCAGCATTTCAGTTTTACTCATTAGGCATTCATGACATTTTTTTTAGACTTAATATGCTTATGCTATTTCTTTATACAATCTCTTGTCAAACATTCTATCGAGGGATTTGCTCATACAAATGAAGAATAGTTGATTAAAAAATTGTAAAAGAGGAGTGTACAATCATAAAATCTTTTCTTTTCATAATTTGGTTGTTTGGACCAGAAAATTACACACTTTTTTTTTTTTTTTTTCTTCAAAAGAATCTATTTTTTTATAAACTACATTCTAAGAAAAATGTCTTCTATGTACTATTTAATGATGCTTTGTACAGACACGTGTATCTAATATGAATTTTTTGTGTTTACAATCTCTTCCCCTTGTATTTTCCTGATTTGTAACCAGATCTCGGTTTTCATCTAGTGAATGTTTACTACTTTAAAACTTGCAACCAAATTAATAGTAACTTTAATATCATAATCAGGGAAACCTATATTTTACAGCATAAGTTATTGGTTAATATCAGGTTTCTTACATGCAACTATAATAAAATGATTTTCTATATGAGATGGTTAATTTTTTCACTGATCAAAAGTTCACTTATGTCAAAATTTACAGAAAGCTTATTTGTGATAGATTATTGTAAAAAAAAAAAATGAAACCTAATGTTTTCCAAGTAGATTTGTAAACAGTTGCTCTCTCTCTCTGCTTACATACATGCGCACAAACATTAATTAAGACTATATGCTGACTAGCTGTTTCATTCCTTAAACAATCATATAGATTACTTAAAACATGAAACTATCAGTTGCCATGTGATATTGATTTCTATATTCATACTCTTTATATTTACAAACATTGAGCACTCTTTCTCCATTAATGAAATGACCTTGTGAAAACAAAGTTTGCTTATCTGGTCAGTGTTGGCTGCTGTCACCTTTTTTTTAATGTACTCTTCTTGTGTATGATGGTGGTGCCATTGCTGGAAAAATGCTGGGAATTTTTGCAATATGTTATGTGTTGCTGGATGTCAGCAAATTTGTTCCTTTTGAGCATTTTCAATTTTGGAAGCAGCCAGGGGACTGAATTAAGTGGATAGCACATTTTTGTAATTGATTTCTTAAACAGGAACTTATGAGGAGTATTGTCATGGTGGTGAATCCCCTTGTCAATCCAGTGTTTAGGTTTTTTTTTTTTTTTTTTTTTTCTTGAAATAGATTCTTGATACTTTCAAATAAACATGTTGATTAACAGTTTGGCCTTGTTTTAAGAATTTGTAGTAAACTATCACCTCAAAGAAAAACATAAGCCTAGTCTTGAACTCTGAGCAAGATGTAACTTTTTTTTATCAAAGTGAATTTGTTTCCCATTGTATGCTTTGGCATTTTGTTTCCAGTTTGTAGTGAAAACATAAAAAATGATCCCATCAAACATTTTTGTATTATTCAAAATCTCAGATGAAATATGAAGCCATTGTTTCTGCTCATCCATCAAAGTGGCATCTTTGAAGAAATCTTTCCCATTTACAGAGATTCATTTAGAATCTGCATCACTGTTTCCCTTTTCATATTTAGTTCTTCTGCTATTAGTTGCATACTTAATCTTCAATCCTAGTGCACTAAGCTTCATACTATCTGCATCTGTTCTTTGTGTTTTTAGCTGCCCACTTCTTGCGTCATCATGCTCATCTTACTCTTTCTGATCCACCTGTACCACTCAGAAAGCCTCAATTTCTTCATATGTTCAGCGTAAGCCATGTTTAATAGAGTTAATGTTTCATAAGTACTTATACCAAACTTCACACAAAACTTTGTTAATCTACTGCTTCAAATTCTGTTCATTCATTTTCCACCAAGATTATAATGTGAACATGTGAAACTTCATTTACTGCTTGGTAATGAATTGACTACTTTGGTTTGCATCTCAAAAAAAATGGAGATTGACACATGTCTGGACATACTCAGGTACAAATGTTTGCCCAAGTCATTACCCCAGCAACATGCTGGTCATTCCAAAAATTAAATTGTCACAGGGAAATTTGTAGCAGTATAATTTTGTGTGTGGGTGAGGTTTTTAATTTTATCTTAGTACTGAAAACTATATTTCCTTTATATTTTGCCAAATAAGGTTCTGCACAAAATCTTCCCAAAATAATTATACACTGCGAGAAAGTTATTTATTTTATTTTTACATCTATAAACTCTAACTGGTCATAAATTTTCTGTATATCTAGATATTTCCTGCAACAAATATGTGTTTGTGTGTGTGTGTGTGTGCCTTTTTTAAAGATATTTAATTCTATTTAGATATTTGTTACTGCTTATTAATGTGTATATTTTGAGGCATATTTGAATCATATTAGATAATTAAAAAATGTGTAGTTTTCAATTTTGTATATATTTAAAAAAAAAAAAAAAAAAAAAAAAAAAATTATAAGTTTGTATATCCTAGTACAAAATCTGTTTTGAAGCAGTAGGCAGAAAAAATTCTTTGATAAAAATATGCCAAACTATGCATGATATGAGTTGAGTCCTAATACTGGAATAAAATCAGATGTGCCAACAGAATATGCACAATGTTTAAGAAATATTAGTAATTATGTTCTTAAAATAGTTTGGAAACTACATATGTGAATATACATCAAATTTATAAGCAAATATTTTAAAAATTCTACTTAAAAAAACAGAAATCTAATCATTTCTTTTTTCTAGAATTTCTATCAAAAATAATTTTTCCCTTTAAATTTATTGTATCATGAAATAACCTCTTGTTATAATGTAAGCACTGAAACCATTTGTTTCCATTTTCATCTGATTGTAGATCATGAGGGAATGATTAATTTCACAAACTGTTGGTTGCATTCATACATACAATAGAATAATTTCAATCAGACATGCTTGGAAAAAAGTTTGACTTTTTAAAAAAAGTTTGATGAATTTACATCTTATTGAGAAATTTTTGCCATTGATTGAAATTATGTTTCTCTTCAACAGTTATTTTTTTTGTAAACTACTTATGTAATTAGTCTCAGTTTTCATATACTTGAGACATCAGGAAAAGATAAACTGTATATTTGTATATAAATTCAATAGGCACAATATTTCCTGCCCAAAATGCCAGGCAATGTCTTTATGCATATTTGGTTGTTCAGTATGTAATGTATTTCAAAACGTTTTTATATTTATACATTGAAAAAATACATCATTTTTGGCAATTACAAATATGCAGTAGAATACTCAGCCCAACAAGTAATATATGTATGAATGTTTTTGTTTTTTAAAATTTGTAGATACTTTGTGTTTTGCATGTGAGTCTCTTTGAAGACCTTGTGAACTGCATTTTTAAGATGATGCAATAATAGTGGGCCATATGGATAATACCTTGCTTTTTTTAATTTTTTATTTATTTTTATTTTTTTTTGTGACTACCATCTAGTGATTTAATTATCTTTCATGTAATGAAGTATGACTTAAAACATTTTTTCACAAGCTCAAACCTGGTTTGTGATTGAAAAGCAGATCTGTTGAGGCTATACTAGATTTTGACAACTCATTCAAAGACATTTTTAACTCAAGAATGTGTACACACTTT